TTAATCCAGGTAGAAAAAAATCAAAAAGAAAACATCAGTAGGTCCTCTGGATGGTTCTTCTTTAGTGAAACGTTTCGTCTCTCCTCCAAGAGACTTCTTCAGTCTGATGAGTTTCAGGTGAACTCAGCCTTATAAGCTCCGCCTCCACATGGACAAACAGGTTAGTCACAGGCCTAGGCCATGCGAAGGCCATCGCCTAACACTAGGCTTGATTAGTTCTACTGTTCATAGAACTACTGGCTCTCTATGAACAATAGAACTAATCAAGCCTAGTGGTAGAACTAAATTTATGCCCTTGGTATTAGGGTTACTAATCCGGCCCTGGCTATAATTCCTCACTTCACCTGTGTCGCAGTTTCCCATCTCCAACATGAACGTACGCATGGGTCAGAGCTGTGAGGCACCGCACATTTTCACATCAAGTTTGGGTTTTATAAATCACAACCTTTTGCGTGAAAAGTGGCGTACGCATGTTTCTGGGCTCGTTTTGTGCGTACGCAAGCTTTATAAATCTGACCCCAGACCTTTTGTTAGCTTTAGCTCGTTGCGGTTGTTGTGGGTCATACACACAACATGAATGTGTTGCAGAAAGGCTGAGCCTCAGTGATGAACTTTAAACTCAACCCTGGACCATGAAGCACTTTAACAGCAGCCACATGAATTACCTTTAATCAATGAATAACTGATTTTAACAACTTGTTACATTTTGCATGTTTCTTTGATTTTTAGTATTTAAATATTTGCTTTTGATACAACAAATTAAAAAAATAACTTTTAGTAAAGTTATGTAAAGGTTATAACACACTGTGGGTCAAACTTAATATAATAAACTCAAACAGCAGCTAAATGTGTTAAACTGTTAAGGGTTTGTCATGTTTTATTGAGAAGACTTCAACCAGGTTCTTCTCTGCAGGTGACTCACCTGTGAGAGCTGCTCTGTGATTCGTGCAGCCAGACTCTGCAGGTCCACCGGAGTCCTGATCCTCAGGACCCTGGGTTTCACGTCCTGCATGGAGCTCATCTCTGTTCTTCAGAAACTCAGGCAGCGGTCCACTCAGTAGGCGGGTCAGGAAAGTCTGATGTTTTCTGTCAGGTTTAGTTAAACCTGAGACTGGGTCCAAAATGTGACAAAGACTTTTAACAAGAAACTAAAAAGTGAACCGATCAGGGTAAAGTGAAGACAAAGTTCAGGACACCCAGAAAAACTAAGCATGTTTAAAGAAACTTAAACAGAATCTAAATGGATCAAAGTCAGCTTCCTGGTTTAAACTCCGCCCCCCAATTATCTTAAAGCTCTTTGATTCTCMGAAGGACAACAAATACCTTTTATCTTCCTACAATAAAAACAAGGTGATAAAATTGTTTATGCAAACACATGGTTACTATTGGAGGTACAGTAATATGCCAGTAAAATGACTTTGTTCTGGTAATATTGCATCTTTATTCTCATAATATTGTGACTTTATCCTCGTACAGCTTTGTCTTAGTATGGTTTTTTTCTAGTAATTTAAAACAAGAGTGGTTATTCCCAAATCAACCTCTAGATGGAAGTAACTGATACCATTCCTTTATCATTTTTTGCAGTTTCTCTAAACCAAAAAAAAAATAAATAAAAACCTTTGTTTTTTTGTCATTTCATTATTTTTTTGTGCTCAGGGAAGCCAGCAGAACAGAACCAAGAGGATGAGGGTCTTTTGCTCCAGCTTTACCTGAAGTGTGTCCAGGAACGATGACCCCCATCYCTTTCTGTAGCACAAACTGAGCAGCTGAACCAGATTAGATTTATGACAACTCCTTAGAGCAACATTTCCAAATGAATTAAAATTAATTACTTGGTGATAAAACAGAATGTAGTGTTTTTGTCTTACTGTGTTTTACTTTGAGGTGGATAAAGTTACACAAAAGTAAAGTTTTGATTGAGAGCAAAGTGAAGTTCTGCAGTTGAGGCTACGAGACAAACGCAGATAAAAGATTAATATTAGTGTTAAATGTATGATGTGTGTGTTTAAAAAAAAACACATTTATGAATTGATTCAGTGCAAGAATTGGTTTTATTATTAACCGTTGACACATCCAGCAGAGAAACAAGGCGAGGCGTAAAGACAGGAGGGGATCAGATCTTGTTGAACGCTGCTACATCAACACTCTGAACCTGAAAACAGAAAGGAATTAACAATGGCGGTTAATGTTTCATCTATAACTTTACAGTTCATTAGAAAATAAAGAAATGTTTGAATAACATTTTGGTTTTTAGAGATTGTTTTATAAATCTTAAAAGAAAAAAAAAAAGAAACCAGGGATTTGTTTGGCTAATTGTTAGCACAGCATAGATGAAGACATTTTTCTTCATATTCCTTTGATGAAACAGCTGATAAAGTATGGTGCAGTTTAAGCTCCAGCTTTTCCAAGCTAGTCGCTAGCCTCTCTAATGCTAACATCAGCTAGTCCATGCTATTTGCTAGCCTCTCCAATGCTAATGCCAGCTTATGCGTGCTAGTCGTTAGCCTCTCCAATGTTAATGTCAGCATATCCATGCTAGTCGCTAGCCTCTCCAGTGCTAATGTCAGCATATCCATGCTAGTCGCTAGCCTCTCCAATGCTAATGTCAGCATATCCATGCTAGTCGCTAGCCTCTCCAATGCTAATGCCAGCTTATCCAAGCTATTTGCTAGCCTCTCCAATGCTAATGCCAGGTAATGCATGCTAGTCGCTAGCCTCTCTAATGCTAATGTCAGCTTATCCATGCTAATCGCTAGCCTCTCCAATGCTAACGTCAGCTTGTCCATGCTAGTTGCTAGCCTCTCCAATGCTAACCTCAGCTTATCCATGCCAGTCGCTAGCCTCTACAATGCCAGCTGTTCAGTTAGCGGTGCAGGCCTATCATTAATTAGATCAATAGCTGGATTAGGAATAAATAGCCTATAGCCTCCTGCTACAAGTAGTCTTAATTTTGACCCTCATACCACACCATATTCAAGTACCACCTGACAGAACATCAGTTCAGAAAGAACCAGACTATTCCTTTAACCAGAGTGATGATATTTGTTTACATTGAAATATTTCTGAGAACTTACGTAGTCTTCAAACTTGGTGATCTCCTCCTCCAGCAGGTCCGTGCCCACCTTGTCGTCTTCCACCACGCATGCGATCTGCAGCTTCTTGATGCCGTACCCCACGGGGACCAGTTTGGACGTCCCCCATAGCAGACCGTCGGCCTGGACCGAGCGCACGCATTCCTCCAGCTTCGCCATGTCCGTCTCATCGTCCCACTGCAACGAGAAGAGGGTAGGAGCGCCGGCTGAAGGAAGAGGGCGCTTTGAGGTGACGTTTTAGACGTTTTTAAAAATATAAACTCACAGGTTTGACGTCGAGTAGGATGGAGGACTTGGCGATGATGGCTGGCTTCTTCGCCTTCTTCTCTGCGTATTCTTTCAGTCTCTGCTCTTTAAGTTTCTCTGCCTCTTCGTCGTCTTCATCGCTGCCAAASAGGTCGATGTCATCGTCGTCGTCTTCATCGTCTTTAACTGGAGCTCTGCTCTTCTGTTGGACGGTCAAACCCTGGAGAGAGTCGGGTTATGGTTAAATAAACCCGGACAGGAGGCTTACAACGTTAAAATGAAAACTACTCACATTCGTGCAGGGGACAGAGGGAGCTGGAGCCACGGGAGCCGGACTCTTCTCAAGAACTGAAACTCGACATTCGAGTTTGGCGAGAGCCACTCGCAGGTCATCCACCACTGAAGAAATGGAGACMTTTCAGGTTTAAACCAGAACGTGCAGTAAATAAAACATTGAGCAGTTTAGAGACAGTTTGACCAAGTTCTGCCTGTCTGTGRTCATTTTTATGGAGCCCGTAAGGAGACATACGGGAAAAAAATAAAATAAAAACTGATCCCGACTTACTTTCTCAGAATCCCAAGAAAGTCAGGATCCTGCAAAACTTTCTCAGGATCCCGACTTAATTTCTCAGGATCCCGACTTACTTTCTCAGAATCCCAAGAAAGTCAGGATCCCGACTTACTTTCTCAGGATCCCGACTTACTTTCTTAGGATCCCGACTTAGAATCCCAAGAAAGTCAGGATCTCGCAAAACTTTCTCAGGATCCCGACTTACTTTCTCAGAATCCCAAGAAAGTCAGGATCCCGACTTACTTTCTCAGGATCCCGACTTACTTTCTCAGGATCCNTCAGGATCCCGACTTACTTTCTCAGGATCCCGACTTACTTTCTCAGAATCCCAAGAAAGTCAGGATCCTGAGAAACTTTCTCAGGATTCTTTTTTTTTCCTCCACATGTCCCTTCAAGGGACACGTATATTTTAAAGACTGATTGATTTGTTCAGAATAATTAAAATTAAACAATTAATCCTTTTATTATATCATGAAGAAAGAAAAGGGTCGTTTATCTTCTAAGTGAAGCTGATGAACGAACCTTTGTGTAAACTCTGGTTCTCCAGCTCCAGACTCTTGATGCGAGAAATGAATTCTCCCTGATCGGCTGCGCTGTTGTTGCCGGCGCTCTGCAGAGACACAACGATCCAACATGACGCACGTTTTACGATCTTTAAACTTCACATTAATCTGAACTTGCTCAGCGTTTTTGCAATGACGGAGAAACAACAGCTGGAGGAGCTTCCAGTGACACACGAGGCTCGGAGGCACTTACAGGACGAGCCTGCTGGTTCAGGAAGGGCTCAGCAGACCCTCTGCTGCAAAGTGTGTTCTTCAGCTTGGAGCAGTGGGGGGTGGGATATGAAACAAGTCAGGAGAAATGGGAGGAAATGAGGAGAAACTGAAACAGAACTGGGAGATTATGAAGGAGATCAACAACGGCGTATTAGAAATCAGAAATTTTCCAGAAAAAAACAGAAATTTTCTGAGAAAAATTCATGAGGAAAAACTCAAATTGCTACAATTAAAGCCAGAAATTTACTTTTTTTTTTTTCATCTGCAAAATATCCTTAATACGCCGTCGTTGATCAGACTAAAAGCAGATGAACACAAAAGGTTCTACAG